CGCCGGGGCCGCCTGTGTCCTTTCTTGTTGTGCCCAGGGAAGGGTGATCTTGGCGGGTGGGGGGTCCCTCGTCTCTTCAGCAGCCGCCAGAAACGGGAGCAGCTAAGGCATATTGCTGCGTTTCTCTCCGATCCAGAGGATCCACAGAAAGGGTCCATGCCTTCGGGCTTCCTCCCTCGGAATGGCATTCGCAGGGAGGCAAAGTCTCTGCAGTTAGCCTACAGTCTCACTCTGTGTTTCACTGCTGTCCTGTAGAAACCCTCTTGGTGTTTGCTGACTAGTGGGCTCCGTGGGCAAGCAGACCCAATTTTGTACTTTGGCAGCTGTATGACAGAATAAAAGAATGATTCTTTTTTTTTATTATTATTATTATTATTGTCTGGTGTCGAGGGAGGAAAAAAAAGTCAAAAAGTACAGCGAGAAAGAATTTTTAAAATCAGATGTGATAACTTAAAAGATTGTCTGCTGTGCTGTCAGCAGCAGAAGTGCAAAGTTACTCCTTTCATCCATTGTTTACATTTTGATCTCTTATCTGCTATGCATCTTCAGGTGTGAAAGCTGCAAGGTGGGTCAGTGCAAGTGGGAGAACAGGACACCGGAGTCAGCTGCTGCCATGGAGAACTGAACAGCAGAGTTTTCCCCAAAGTCTCCTAGTGAGCTCTGGTTTAGACTTGAGCTTTACTGAGCAAGTCCCAAGCTGGTAAATGTTCTGCACAGGGAGCAGTAGCAGTATTTACTCTCAGATTATTTTGAAGTTGCTTCTCTTAGCAGTGAATTCTGATCTTGTTGGAGGATTCTCACTGAATGTGAGGATTCGTTCAATAAGACTTGTAGCCTTTGGGCCATCTAATTATAATGCTCTTGAAAGCAGTGGGTGTCATATTCTTATTGGCTGCCTTAAAGGTATGACTTACCTGACCATGCAGATGAAATAATTAAAATTACTTGGAATGTATACTAAGTGTACAACTTAGTATATCAGTTCAGTCTTCTCTTCGTCTGACTTAGAAAACCAAGTTCTGGGCAGGCATGTTATGTGGAGTATTTAAAATGTGGCTTGAAAAAATGTAGGTTGGGGAACATACATATGGCTAAAAATGCTTTCTTAAGAAGAAGGGGGATTTGGCTTTTTGGCAGAAGTGTGCCTTGTCTCATAACGGAGCGGTGGGCTGCTTTGGGCCGGCTTTTCTAGAGATGTCTGGATAACAGCAGTGTGGTATTTACAAAGCCATGAATCACTCAAGGATGGGACCGTATGGACATGCAAAATATGTGCTCAGTTGACTTTTCATCTCTTGTTCCTCCTGATTGTCAAAGTTCTGGCCTTGGGTTTGTTTGTCTTAGGTTGCAAAACAGACAAGACAGGCAACTTCTTAAATACGCTTAAGTAATCATTGAGGGACATGATCTGTATTGGAAGACAACCTCTTTGTTATATTCTTTTTTCGAATTGTGGATACATTCATACTTAAAAGAAAAGAACAAAACCCAATCCTTTTTGGGAAACAGATCAAACTCCTGTCAGTCATGTTTCCACAAGTCTCTTTATCGACTGAAGTAATCCATTTACAAGAGCAATTGTGACAATTATATAGAACTGCCTAAAGCAGAAAGGGCATTGATTTGTCTTTTCTGATTTTTAACAGGTACATTAAAGACATCATGAATTGGAACAAAGGCGGACCTGGTACTAAGAGAGGCTTTGGTTTTGGTGGATTTGCCATAACACCTGGAAAGAAAGAGGAGCCTAAGCTCTCTCAACAATCTCATAGTGCTTTTGGAACAGCTGGTTCTTCTGCTGCATTTGCGAAATCAGGACCTCCTCAGCTGCCTTCTTTCTACAAAATTGGGTCAAAGCGAGCAAATTTTGATGAAGAGAATGCGTAAGTAGGGTTATTTCTTGTGTTTATCTAGCTCTAGATTTTAGCCTTTTAAAGTGTCTAAGGTCAGGGAAAGTACTGTGACATTTATGAGGTTTAGTTATTTAGAAAAGCCTGCTCAAGGATAAATACCCTAACACTACATTACGGTGTAACAAAACCCTGGTAGCTTTACAGCAGTAGTATCAAGAAAAACTGAGCTAGTCACCCGCAGGAATTCCCATCCCTGCTCTGCAGCAGACTTTTGGTGTCACCCTGGACCAATTATTTACGCTTTCTCTGGGTATCAGCCCATTGTCTGTAAAATGAGAATAATAATACATCTTTGCCTTTAAATGTATTTAAAAGACTGTGAGATACTACAGTAGCCCATAGAGATCTCTCTTCTCGTTTTCCCCTCCCTAAGAACATATCTTGGCTGAGCTCAATCGTATTCGCACTCTGGTGTGTTCAGAATTGGAGCCAAGCAGGATAAATTTGTGTGTTGTTTGCACAGGAAAACATACAACTCCACATTTCTTAACTAACCCTTCTATTAGCTGCATAAAGGCATTGAATAGGAGGGAGGTCAGAAAAGCATCCTATGTTTGCCAGCCTGGGAGAGCCACTCAAGAAGATCAGTTTCATAACATTTATTTTCCCTACCGCCACTTTTAGATTACAACATGAATAACTGTAAATAAACAAATGTGAACATCTTTTTCCTGTGTACATACTGACTTTTATTATCCATCTCTGTGTGGGGAAACTTGACTTAACTCAGAAACCATGAAAGAAAGTATGCTGTTGCAGACTATGTGCTGACTGGGTGGTTGTTTGTTTCTTTTCAGGTACTTTGAGGATGAAGAGGAAGATTCCAGCAATGTTGAATTGCCATACATTCCTGCAGAGAATTCCCCCACTCGCCAGCAGTTTCATTCCAAATCAGCAGACTCTGACAGCGATGATGATCCTCTGGAAGCATTCATGGCTGAAGTGGAGGCAAGACTCGGCTTGTGAATTGTTTATTAATTTATGTGGCCATACTTCTCTCCAGTCAGGAGCAGCAAATGTCATTCATGGCTTTGGCAGCTGTATTCAGAACGTCACTTAACTTTTAGTTTTTATGTAAGATGCTATGTTAATTAGAATTCAGAGGTGGATCAGACAGGGAGAGGGTGGATATGATTTACAATAGCTTAACTATTTAACTGTTTTGAGCATGTCAAGGCAATGCAACAAAGAACTTCGTGTGTCTCTGTATATGAAATTAATGTTTTGTGCATTTTTCGCTACCTGAATCATTATCATGAGCTGTTCCTTAGCTACAGTTCTGTTATTAGCTGGATCCTGTCACAGTGTTTTCAGGAGGAGTGTGGAGAATGTATTTTTTCAACAACATTGCAAAGTTTCAGTGTATACATTTCAAAGGTGCTGGTAGGAGAATTTATTTAGCATAACAGGATATGGAACAAGAGGAAGTTTAGTCCAAAAAATGTTGTTTCTGTGGCATGATGGTCTAGTTATGTAGGAACATTTTTCCCGTCCATGTTTTATCATCTTGGGTTTTTTTAACATCATAATTTTATGATCTGTTAGGATCAAGCAGCTCGAGACATGAAGAGACTTGAAGATAAAGACAAAGAAAAAAAGAACGTTAAGTAAGTTCTCTTCTATAATTCCCATGCCTGTCTGTGTCTTGTATGGTGCTAAGAGAATTCCAGTGCATTTTGTTGATGATGATTTTTCTGTAGACACTAAAATATTTACCTAGTAAACAGCATTAACCAGCGCATGATACCCCCATGGGTAAAGTTCTGTGCAATGAAAACCGAATAATAGGAGGGAAGAATCCATAGCGGCATCCTATGGTAAAATGTAACAACACTGAGAGTTATCTCATGTGAGAAGGCTTTCTAGGCCACACAAATTGGGGCAGCACATTGTAGTACTTC